TCCAAATATTTTTCTGTCTTATTTCTCCATACCACCCCTTTACTGGTATTTCAGTTAGTATATGTATACTAGACTGCTTAGGTAACCTGAGTTTTTCCAGCAAGTCCTCTTTATTTTTCATTTTGGACAAATACTATTGATCTTTTATTTTTGTTTGTTTAGCAGTCCTGGAGGTTGCATTCAGGACCTTATGCTAGCTAGGTAGGCTTGAGTTACTCTGCTAGCCATTTTTGAATTGGTTATTTTTTTAATTTATATATTTGCATTTATCAGTATGTGAAATGTATTTTTTTTCTGTACTAGAGTTTGAACTCGGGGCTTTGTGCTTGCCAAGCAGGTGCTTTACCATCTGAGCCACACCTCCAGCATGCACTGGTTATTTCTGAGATGAGGGTCTCACCTTATTCCCAGGCTGGCCTGGACCACAGTCTGTCCAGCCTCTGTTTCCCAAGTGGCTGGGATTATAGACTTGAGCCATCATGCCCAGGTATTGATCTTTTTTTAAGTTCATAGAACTTTCCTTCAGTCATCTTCAATCATATGCTAAGCCTAGTCACTCATTTTTATTTCATGTATTATATTTTTCAGTGCTAACGTGCTCAGTTCATTTTTATAGTTTTAATTTCACCACTGAGCTCCCCATCTCTTCCTTCATGATGACCTTATTTTCCTTTTAAGTCCTGGAACACCTTTATCATAGTTACTCTGATTCCCTGTCTGTGTAGCCCAAGAGCTGGGTCCTCTTGTGGTTGCTTTCTGTTGACTGTCTCTAGATTCTGGTTCATATTCTATTTTGTTGCATGTCTGGTAATTTTTATTGTGTATTGGAAAGTGTATCTGGTACATAATGAAGACAGTGGATTTTGTCATCTTTTCTTGAAGAATGTTGATTTTGTTCTAGCAGATTAACTTATCTGGACTCCAAAGTCTATCTCCCCTTTGGTGAACCTTGTTGAAATCTGTGTTCAGACCTTTCAGCCTTGAGGCTGTTACCTTTCCTTGTGTGTTTCAGGGAGAAACTAGAGGTTTCAGTGTAGATTATATACAGACTTGGAGGCTCTTGTGCTTCTTCCTTTCTGTCCTCTCAAATCAGAACACTGCAGATTTCTGCTTAAACTCAGGGTACTTCATACCATATGGATTGGGCGGTAGTACCAGGTGGCAAGCTATTCTTTTTTTAAGAATTGCTCCCCCCTCCAGTTTTTGCTTAGTTTTGGTCATTCTACTGTGCTTTTTGTCTGAGTAGATTATTATTATCTGCAGGAGGATTAATTTAATATTGCTGCTCTGCCATTACCAGATGTTATACCATATCACTTTTTATTCCCTATTTTGCATTGATGGTATTGCATATGATTAAACAAACAAACAAACAAAACCCATTTTCTGTGAATGATGGCAACAGCTTATCAAAATCTTCTAATAAAATTGAGCACATAAATAACCTTATTATTTTCTTTCTTTCATAGACAAGAGACGATTTCCTAGGTCAAGTGGATGTTCCACTTTATCCATTACCGGTTGGTAGAGCTGTCATTGATTTTTATTCCTCTTAATTAATAAATGCCTCTACATGCACAATGTCATATAAGTATTTGGTTTATAAAGTACGTACTGCTTTTATTTCTTGAGCACATTGTTTTCTGAAAAATCCATCTCAGTTTTCCATTGCAGTTTTCTCTCTAAGGTTGCCTCGCATGAATCCCAGTAAGAAAAAAAGACCACCGGTACTTGTTAGCATCCCGGTAGCACTGTTTAAGGAAGAGCAGTTCAGAGATATTCTTTTGAGTGACTAGAATGGGAGAGCCGAGGCTCCCTGAGGCACACTAAGACAGTGTTCAACATGAAACACTGAGAATCTCCAGTAAGGATAGAGCAATGGCGGGAAACAGAGTAAGAAAGCATTTCAGAATAAAACATGATCAGACCAAGTGTTTGACATGGAGGTTGAAAAAAAGGACAAAGCAAAAAGTAAAGATATTACAGGTAGAATTTAGAAGGTAAGGGTAGAGAAAAAGAGGAGGAAAAGCCATTTTTTAAAATACCAAATATTTAATTTTGGACATAATAAATTTCAACAGAAAATGGGAAAAATTAAAGTGGGCAGCTGATAGAGTTATAAAAATAAGTTATGTGGCAAAAAGGGATGGAAAAGATTGAGAGTTACCACCGTCCAGCTAATAGCCAACCTTGAGATCAATTAAATGTCCAAATGAGAGAGATGAGCGCAGAGGACCAAGCGCCATCATTCGTCACCATGGGTGGGTCACAGGAAAAAGACGACAGACAGGGAAAATGGAAAAGAACCAAATAAAATAGTACCACAAGATCTTAAGATTTTCAAGACACCAGGGGTAGTGAATGCAAAACAGCAGAGAAGTTATAATAAAAACCATGGGCTCCTGAACTTTAAAAAAGAGGAAAAAAAGTCATTTGAGATCTTTATTGGCTCTCTACAGTGTTCACAGATCTAAGCCTTCAGTAATGGGTTTAACCCAGTCTTACTTTCCTGCTGGTTACTTCTTGGTTCTCTAGAATCGTCTCTGTGCTCTAACCAGGCCAACTGCTGAGGCTGAGTGTCCATTGGTCATCCTCTGCACTGCACTTGACCCCCTGACCCACCTGCTGTGTTCGGTTTTTTGACTGAGTTGTGATTGGCTGCAACTCTTACTATGCAAGAAAGGAAAAGCACTGTCAAATTACTAATTAAATGGTTATTTAATAAACTAAAACTACTTTTTTCTCACTCTTTAATTATACTTTAGGCCATAGTTCATGAATGTTTTTGAAATGTATATAACATTTTGGTGTTGTACCTATGTCTTGAAAACACACTGTTTTATTCTAGACAGAAAATCCAAGAATGGAGAGACCATACACGTTTAAGGATTTTGTTCTTCACCCAAGAAGGTCAGTAATGTAAAAATCATAGCATATTAAGTTTTTTTTTAAATCTCTTCATTAAACCTTACAGTCTCTTTGAAAACTCAGGGTTTAAACCTTTATAAATTAGCCACTTCTAAATACTGTATGAAGATTTGTAAAAGCTGTATTGGTATTTCTAATTAAAAAGTACAATATGTACATTGCAGAAAGGTTCTGAAGATACAGAAAAATGACCACAGCCCTTTGGGAAAGATTTGTTCTAATATTTATCAAATAGATAGCAGTTTACATAGTCTATATTTCATATATTACAGTATATGTAATTTTGTCATAGCATGCATTGAAAAAAAATGGCAAAGATTAATTCATCTAAAATAAATATCCAACCTGAATGGACAAAGCTAATTTTAGGAAAATCTCACTACATTTCACATACTGTAATTTAAGAAAATAGCATGAATGGAGAATGGAGTTTTAAACCCAGGCAGCAAGATCATAATTCCATTTTCTTAAACTGAATTATGTGATTTTTGTCAAAATTTAAATTTCTAAGTTGTAAATAAAACTCCTTTTCATAATCTGTAGCACAGAATGAAGTAAAATCTAGTCAAAACACATGCATGGATTTACTGCAAAAGGTGAGAGTTCAGCAGTTACAGAACATCTGTGAGAACAACAGTATTTTTCTTGAAACTTTTCCTTGAAAAAACATTTGAAAATTGTACTCTTGGAACTTAGTGAAAGTTTTCATTTTAAATGACTTCGTTAAATTACTCTTCATAATGTAAGTATTAAAACAAAGCAGACAGCGCTCGGAGGCTGTGTTGATGTTTATTCTCTGTTAGCAAAGTCACACATTTAATTTCAGTAGAATATAAATCTCTTTTCTTCCTTTAAATTTGGAGTGTTGTGACCCCTGCATACCATGAATAACTAGAAAAATATTTCTTCTCTTATTTTATTGCCTTAGTAGCCTGCTTTTCAATTTGTCAGAAGTATTTTAGTATCTTTTTCTTAAAAATATATATATATCTTCTATCAGCCTATGATATGACTACAAGAGCAGAAATAACTTTATTCAGGTAGAAAAATGTGCTCTATCTCTAGATAGAGCCCCATTAAACCAAACTCCATGGACTTATTTTCTGATTGAAAAGATATGAAACACAGGTCAAGCATGGTGCTTGAGGCTTGTAATCCCAGCTACTCAGGAGGTGGAGGCAGAAGAATCCCAAGTTTGAGGCCAGCCTGGGCAAAAAATCATGAGACCCTGTCCCCAAAAAGCAAAATACAAACAAATGGGCTGAGGCATAGCTCAAGAGGTAGAGCTCTTGCCTAGCACATGCAAGACCCTGGCTTCAATTCTTAGGACTAAATTAATAATAATAATGATAATAATAACAATAATAATAATAATAAAAGACATGAACCACAACTGCAGAAAAAAATTTGAACAGAACATCATCTGAGCACATTTTCCATATCCATGGTTTCTAGCAGCAAGTCAGAGTGCCACGGCCCCTTGACTTTGGAGGCACAGCTGTTTATGGCCTTGGGAACAAGAACTAGGGATTTTACTACCACTCAGTACATTTGCCAAATCCAGGAGAACCATACAGAGAACAACTGGAAAACTGTAGGAGGACAAAAAAATCTCTCAAGAATAGAATGAAAGGATTAGGACTCTTTTGTCTAGAAAGACAAAGGATAATTGGTTATATAACTGATAACTGTTTTTTAAAAATCACCAAAAAAGAAAAACATACAGAGAAAGCTAGTAAGAGCAACAGCTTCTTAAGTAAATCTTAGGTCACTAGAACAGATAGAATTGAGTCAGGTTTTTAAAGAAGATTTAAAATACTACAGTGCTGTAGTCTTTATCTTGGATCACACATTATCAAAAGCAATATTACAGTAAGTTTCAGGAAGCAGTTTCAAATGCCATCAAAGGAAGAGGGCGAGTATCAGACCTTGGTCAGGCCTTGCTTTCTCTTTTCTCTCATCCTATAGAAATGACCAGATTAGTATCCTTAAAGCATGTCTAAACATGCCTTTCTTTATTCCAGAAATTCCCAAAGACTTCCCCAAAATATGTCAAATAAGCCTAAAGTTCTCTTAATTTGCATGACCTGTTCATCTGGACCGTCACTGTGTCCCACAGCCCTCTCTACGTGTCCAAACTCCTCCACCCATTCCTCAATGGCTCCCACATTCCCATCCATTTCCACAAGCCAGATCAAATCCTCCCCAGCCTTCGAGCCCAACAGAAACGCCTATGTCTCTCTGATCTTTCATGTCACCTTCCTTAACATCTTATTTACAGAACAATTGTTCATGTCTGTGTGTCTCCTTTTCCTAAATGGCTTCCCCATGGGAACTTGTCTTTGAATTCCTCTGGTAAACCCCCTAATAGGTAATAGTTGTTCAATCAGTGCACTAAATGAATGCTTTTCTTGCTAGTGTTAAAGTTTTGTAAATAATTATTTTCTTTTCTGCAGTCACAAATCAAGAGTTAAAGGTTATCTGAGATTAAAAATGACTTATTTACCTAAAACCAGTGGCTCAGAAGACGATAACACAGAACAGGCTGAGGAATTAGAGGTAAGATTTTATAAATATTTAGTTAAACTAAAAAGAAAATAGCTAATTTCTGATTTTACTATTCTCCAAAGATGAAATTAATGTGTGCAATAAATATTCTTTGTGTGAACATTTATTTCACCCAAGCATTCACAAGCAATTCCCCTCCTCTAAGGATACTTCTGTAGAATGAATGGCTATTATCAATGGCCTTCTTAAAGGAGAGAGAGTAGAGAAATACAATGTTTATGAATGAAAGTATTTATTTTAATTAAGTCATGAACTAGTCCTAGTTTTTCAGTTTTCTAAAACCATGTCATGTTCTTCCTGAAAATAAGAACACAATTTACTATTTGTAAGTTATTAAATGTATGGATATTTTGAGGAGACTCTACTAATAAGAAACTCTTTTATGGTGTGTAATTCCTGTCATGCTGAGATGGGGAAGGAAGGAAGAGGGGATATTCACGTGACCCAATGAAAACTAAGTCTCTAAACTCAACTATTGCCAGTTCCTCATTCATGGATGATAGGATAAAAGGGAATTGCAAGTCAAGGATTTGGATAGAGTGACATGCATGTGGTGAGTGGAGAGGCAGATTGTGGAATGCAAGGGGCTTTGGAGACTGGCACTCCTAGCCAGTGGTCAGCTCTGCTCCTAGCCAGTCACAGGACCCTGTGTGAGGTGCTGACCTCCAAATCTCAGGCTCTTCATTGAGAGAGTGACTGACAGGGTTGTACCATGTGACCTCTAGGATTTCTTCCAGTAGAGAAAGATTTGGAAAGGGGACAAAACATCTGCTTCCTGAGGTCTCTTTGAAGGCACATTTCATCAGTAGGTGGCACCATTTATTCAACATTTACTGAAAGCACACAGCACAGGGCACCAGCTTGCTTTGGAAGGTTCTTTTTTTGTACTTTCCTCACCAATCTTGACTCCGACTAAGCATCCGCTTTGGAACCCATAAGAACTATGAAAGTGCAGCATGTCCCCAAGGTCTGGGCTCTACCTCATGTGTTCACATAGCTTGAGAAAGAAAGCCCTAAGGTAAGCAGTGAATTTGCAACCAAGCTTTCTGGCAATCTGTTTTTAATGCGCTAATGAGATTTTACTCTGGTTGTCTTCAAACCATAGAGTTTAGGTAACCCATAGAGTGGTGAGCAAACAACTTGCTACCTTCTTAAATCTATCTTCACTTACTTGCTTATCTTTTTTGTATTTGTTTTTCTGAATTTTTCCTCATTAGAAATTGCTGACGTTTCTCTACCTATCACTTTGGTGCACAGGGTACCTTGTTGGAATTCTGTTTGAAATGAAGGGTGTCTGCTGTCAAGAAAGAAAATTCTTTATTTAGTAACTTTAAAAAATTAACAGTATCTCATTATCTTGTAGCTTGCTCCAACTTTTGTCCACACACGTGTTTCGTAGGAACCTCATTCCCAGCTCAGTTCTGAGGCAGAACTGATTTGCTCTATGGTGTGGCCTCACGCCTCACAGTACACTGTCTAATTCCAGATGTAAATGTGTACATTTACTCACAAAAGGCCCTTGGAATTCAGGTGCACAGATCTAGGCTTATTTATCTTCTGTGTAGCTAACAGCCAGACCGTTCTGTCCAGTGCTTTGACACCTAGTTTCCAACTAAATATATAAAAGTCCACTGTTTAAAGAATTAAAAAAAAAAAAAAGGCTAACTCTTAGGCCATTTGTGTTTGTATTCCTTATAAAGTAGGATGTAACAGGTAATCACGTAGCACTTGAGTTTGTACCTTTTGCCACTTTCGGGTTAGTTGTATGTATTTTACAAGATTAACCTATGACGTTGGCCATAGCTCTGAAATCTTTCTCTTTTTTTAATTTCTTTTATTCATATGTGCATACAATGTTTGGGTCATTTCTCCCCCCTTCTCCCCGCCCTCTCCCTTTCCTCCCACCCCCTCCTTCTGAAATCTTTCTTTTTCTCTTTGACTCCATTAAATTGTAGGCAGTTGCATATGGGCTTCGAGACTAGTAATTAAATAAGGTTCATTGACTCTTGGAAAATTATTTTATGGATGTGAGGGCATTGCTTAAGCAGCAGGGGGTTAGCAAGTGTGTGGCCCTGGGTTCAATACCCAGTACTAAAAAGAAAAGGGAGAGAATTAGTTTATGAAAAATAGTAGATAATACATATTTAATAGGGAGCAAGTCCATCTAAAAATGAAAATTAGTGTTTCTAAATGGTATTTGAATATATGACTGTACTTCTTCAAATTTGAAATAGGTTCTTTTAAAGTGCTAATTAATTTTTTTTCATTTTCTTCTTGAATTTACTTGGATAACACACAGCAGATCTTTAAAGGAGAACTCTTAGCTTTTAGAGAAATATTCTTTTGGCACTATTTTTATAATCCTTTTTAGTTTTTGGTGGTACTGGGGTTTGAACTTAGGGCTTCACACTTGCTGAAGCAGGTGCTCTACCACTTGAGCCATGGCTCCAGTCCTAAGATGCCTTTATTAATGAATTTCACTAATCCTACAGGAAAGTAATAATTGATCATGTTCAACAAAGAAATCTTAAGTTCTTTCAAAAGAGTATAATATAAAAATTCATCTCACATGCTTTTGAGACCAGGGAGATAAAATTTTATTCTATTTATGCAAGACTAGTTTTTAGGTATGTGAGCACCTATGTTATCAGATAAGGGAGAGAGAGGAGGAAGATAAATGTAGATGGAGAGTCAAGGTAAGAGTTGGAGGGAAAGAAGTCAGGTGTGGTGGCTCACATCTGTAATCCCAGGTACAAAGGTAGAGATCAGGAAGATCGTGGTTCAAGGCCAGCCTAGGCAAAAAGTTAGGGAGACTGCATCTCAACCAATGACTGGGTGTGGAGGCTTGCACCTGTCATCCCAAACTACGCAGGAGGCATAAATAAGAGGATCATGGTCCAGGCCAACCTGGGCAAAAAAGCAAGACCCTGTCCCAAAAATAGCTAAAGCAAAACGAGCTGGGGCATGGCTCAAGCAGTAGAGCACCTGCCTAGCAAGCACAGGGCCCTGAGTTCAAACCCCAGTACAAAAGAGAGAGACAGGGAATGGAAGGGAAGGGGATGGAAGGGAAGGGAGGGAGGGAGGGAGGGAAGAAGGAAGGAAGGGAAGAAAGGAAGGAGGGAGGGAGGAAGGAAGGAAGGAAAGAAGGAAGGAAGGAAGGAGAAAACGGAATTTGAGCAATGGAAAGAAAAACTAAAAATGTATCAGTACTCATAGAAGTAAAATAAATAAATAAGAAAGGGAGTCAGATTTACTTCCATCCAGATCCTTTTCCCAAAGTAATCCTTTCTGTCTTCTTCTCTCCCTGGCCCTCACCTCTGTTCTTCCTCACTTCGTAACCTTCCCACCATAGCTGTCTGGAATAGGCCATCCTTACTGCTGAAGCCCATCCCCTCCCCTTGCTGCCAGAGCTCCCCGCTCTCCTTGACTCTCTTTTCCCCACATAGAAAACTTCTCTTGCATCTCTAGCCAGCATCCCGCCTTGCGCTCAGCAGCTACTCACTGCTCCATCTCTGGGCCCAGAATGGTAACCCTATGTACATTAAAGAAATTATTCTGTCTGTTATCAGAGTACCAATGATGTTTCCAGTTTTCTAGCCTCCCCCTTTGGTCTAGTAGCTTTTGCCATGCCCATCTCTGGGGGTGTTGTAGTCATGGATGAGTATACTTTCATGGCCTCTGGGCTTTATGTCATGGTTAGCAGCTTCTCATTCTTGGAATATATTTCATAAATCTCCCAGATTGTTTTCAATAATTTTTGTGTTTACTTTTGTAACATTTAATTATTGCTCAGTTAGAGCTGGGTGTTATGGCCTGCACCTGTATTCCCATTTAACTAGGAGACTGAGGCAGGAGGATCACTTGAGCCCAGGAATCTGAGGCCAGCGTGGACAGCATAGCAGGATCCCATGTGGAAAAGTAAAATAAGAAATAAATATTATTATTCGGTCTATAACTTTCCTGGTATAAGGTGTGAGGTAGGGATCCAAAATAATTTTTTCTTTTTTTTTGTTGGTACTAGGGTTTAAACTCAGGGCCTTGTATTGCTAGGCAAGCCCTCTACCACTTGAGCCACATCCCAACCCTTATTTTTCAAATAGGGTCTCACATTTTAACCCATGCAGGCCTGGACAGAGATTCTCCATTTTCTGCTTCTGGTAACTGGGGAGACAGACATGCACCACCACTTCCGGTTTATTGGTTGAAATGGGGTTTTGCTAACTTTTTGCAGAAACAAAAAGATCCTCTGAATCTCTGCCTCTCAAGTAACTGGAATTACAGGCCTGTACATCACACCTGGCCCAAATTAAACTGTTTTTTCAAATGGGTATTGTTTGTAAGCAATCTGCCTATTTTCTCACAGATCTGAAATGTCCTTATCATTTGCCAAATTCCTGTACATTTGGGTCTTTCTGGGCTTTTAAATACTTGTTTTCAAACTGCCTGTCTTGGCACGCACCAGTGCCACACAGGGTTAACTGCTGCAGTTTATATGGTTTCTCCAATAGGACTCACCTCCACTCCACTCACTGCTCTTCCTTTTAAGAACAAGTCTAATTATTATTTCTTGGTTGTTTTCCTATCTGAACTTGAGAATTGGCTTGCCTTGTTATTTTTTAAAAATACGAAGTGGAGTTTTATCCGAACCTTGGCACATTTGTGGATTAACTTGGGAAAAACTGATACCTTTGTGAGATGGAGTCTTTTTAGCCAAGATAGTATTATCTTTCCATTCATTGGTGTCTTCTTTTATGTCCTTTTAGGAACACTTTAAAGCTTTCTTTGCAAGTTTATTTCAGTTTCTAGTGCATTCTTAACCATATTGGTATTTAATGAAAGCTGCCTTTTCTGTTAGGAGGTTTCTCGCATAAAAGTATCTTGTTGACTTTTGTGGCCCTTTTCAATTAATCCCTGACTTTCACTCCGAAAGCTAAAGCTTTGTGTGTCTTTATCTCCTGGTTCTGAGAAACCAGACTTCCACTGCATTTCTTTTCTAAACCCTTCTTTCCTTGGCTGCTTTATGACTTGACCAAAATGCCTTTCCTTGGTGCAGGGGAGGAAAAAAATTCAGGCAAACAAAATCAGAATGACAGTTTGGTCCCCATCAAGCTCACCGTAGCAATTACTGCTCAGTCCTTCCCCCTTCTTCTACCATGTCTCTGTGTCTTTGACCCTTATTTTAATAACTTCTTTCATGCCTTAGATAGAAATGACACATGATGCTTGTTTTGTGACATGATGCACATTTCCCCTGCAAGCAACTGCACCTTCCCTATGGGAGAGACAGCAACAAGACCCAATCCCACCCTTCAGCTACCTGCTTATTAGTTAGAGAATAGCCCAAGGTCACACGAGTTGAAACCATGCTTCTTAGTGTCTCAGTGCTTTTCAGCATATCAGCATTGCTTGTTTGTTTAAAAGCTTTTAGTCCTTTTTTCTGATTTGATTATGTATTAAGGCTTTTTTGAAAAACTTCACTTGTGAACAAAATTTCAACTGTTCTCGTTTTGCAAAAAAGTCTGTATTATAAAGTATTCAGATTAAGGTCGTAAAAGTTGAGGATGTGCTAATTCTGTTTGTGCAGAAATTCTGGAACAGAACATGCTAGAACTCTTTCTTGATTTCCGTTAGCATGTAATTTACAAAATTAAAACTTAAGCATAAACTTAATTGCTTCCATTCTGTTTTTCAGCCTGGCTGGGTTGTTTTGGACCAACCAGATGCTGCTAGCCATTTGCATCAGCAACAGGAACCTTCTCCTCTCCCTCCAGGCTGGGAGGAGAGGCAGGATGTCCTCGGAAGGACCTACTACGTAAACCACGGATCGAGAAGAACTCAGTGGAAGAGACCAACCCCTCAGTATGTGCTGGTGGCTGTCACATTCCTAATCTGGATACTTTTTTTTGGCAGTACTGGGGCTTGAACTCAGGGCATCAGTCTTGCTAGGCAAGTGCTGAGCCTCACCTCAGCCCTTTTTGCTTTAGTTTGATTTTAGATAGGCCCAAGGTGGCCTTGAACTGCAATCCTTCTATCTCTGGCTCCTGAGTTGCTGAGTTTACAGGCATGTACCAGCACACCCAGCCCTCTGGATAGACTTTAATCATTTATTTTCATTTTGAAGTCATGTCTCAAAAAGATTTATAGTGGTGTTAGGATCCATAAACTATAACAAGACCAAAACTTTTATGGCCCAGGGCTTTAAAATGCTCTCTCAGCTGCTCATTTGTTTTTAAAATGATTCCATAATATTTAAAATTATTTCAGTCACAGAAACCACCTTTTCAACTGCCTCAGTTTTAATAAATTAATTATTATTTAGCCACAAGACATTTTTCTTTTGAAACTGATTTGAAATATGGAAATTTTTGTGGTTTGTTATTAACCACGTGTCTCCTCTATGACATTTTTCTTTTATTATCAGACTGTGTATGTATTTCCACATTCTCTCATTATTCATATTTATTATCAAATTCCCTTCAGTTTCTCCTCTCACACAGCCTTATATGGCTTTAGTCTCTTACTGTTTGACACATAAAATTTTTCGTATTTGCCCATTAGCCTCCTTACTTTTGATTCTCACATTTTGCCTCTGATCTGTTCCAAGCACTTTCATAGATATTTTCAGTCCCCCAGTCCTCCAACCTGAGTAAATCAGCAGCCCAAGTTCCCCATGGCACAATGACATCGTTATCTGTAGAGTTATACAGACTGCAAAACCAGGGACCCTGTAAGATTCTGCAGCTGCCTACTTTGCCCTATTCAGGCAGCAAAAATCAAATATTTAGGTGAAAAAAATCTGAAACATTCCCTTAGAACCATCTGTCAAAATTGTGATTTTTGACCAGCTATGGGACTGTTATAAATGATCTTCTGGAGGCTCTGGAGGGGGTGGGGAGACAGGAGATGAGGGGGAGACAGTGGTCAACCATACGAAGGCACAGTTCTTTAAACAGAGCAAGTCCCGGTGTGCATGGTAGGATGACTGTGGTTAACAGTATCGTATGGAAAAGCTGGTTGTGAATGTTCTCACCACAAAGAAATGATGGTGTTAGATTATGAATGGGCTAAATTATTGTGATGTCATTATTACACAGTGTATACATGTAGCCAAACATTGCATGGTACCCCCAAAATACAATATATGCAATTATTAAGTGTCAACTTTAAAAAAGAACTTTTTAAAAAAAAAAGAAAAAAGAAAAAAGCTGGTCTTCTGACTATTCTGAGTTTATATGTCCTGAAACAAATTAATAATAATTTTGTCATTAAATATTTGAACAAACTTTATATACATAAAATGTAACTAGGGCTCATGTGCTTCGTAAACTCAGACAGGCCCTTTGCTGTTTCCTTTTTCACCCCAGGTCCGTGGTCTGTGCATGATGAAAACAGATATTACTTAATCTATTAAGTGTTTCATTATAGAGTTCTTACTCGCAACGCCTTTCATTCTGCCTTCTGCATTTGTGGATGGTGGGGGGGGCTCTACTTGTTAAGACCAGTTCTAGAAACATTGTGTCAGATTCGTGATGTTGCATATACAACTCCAGAGATACTTTCGACTTTACTTTGCAATAACATCATGAACTACTAATACAATGAAATTATTTATGAAACTCTTATTTAGTTGTTCAACAAATATTTTTGAGTGCCCACATTATCCGACATCCTAAGCACAGTGAGGAACTAAAATATCAGAAAGGTGACACATTTCCACAAAAGCTTTAACTCCACAAGGAACTTTGTAGGTGCCAATGTGCCCACAATGTAAGTTAAAATAGCCTTTGGCCAAAAATGATGAATTCCAATCTAATACAAGTATTTTTAAGTGATCACAGAATCTTTAACTATCATTTTTACTATCTTAAGGCATGAGTGACAGCTTTTTTGTTTATTTTTTGGCAGTCCTGGGTTTGAACTCAGGGCCTCATGCTCGCTAGGCCAGCGCTTTACCCCTTGGACCATGCCTCCAGCTCTTTTTGCTTTAGCTATGTTTCAGATACCATCTCATGTGTATGCCCTGGCCGGCGTGAGTCACAGTTTCTCTATTTTAGGCTTCCCTTGTAGCTGGGATGACAGGAGCACACCACCACACCCAGCCATTGGTTGAGATAGGGTCTTGTGAACTTTTTGCTCCAGCTGGCCTCAAATCACAATCCCTCCTAATCTCAGCCTCCTGAGTAGCTGGGATTGCAGGTATGAGTCACTGTGCCCAGCTGAGTGACAACTTTTTTTACTTCTGTTATAGGGATGACCTAACAGATGCTGAGAGTGGTAGCATTCACCTGCAAGCCCAGCATGCATTTACCACTAGGCGCCAGATATCCGAGGAAGCAGAAAGTGTTGACAACCGGGAGTCTTCTGAGGTATAAACAGTTTCCTGACTGTCATTGGCAGGTGCCTGGGACAGCAGTCAGTTACAGAATGTGTGGCTCAAGCTGATTCTGTCCGTTTCAGAGCTGGGAAATGGTAAGAGAAGATGAGGCCGCCATGTATAGCAGCCAGGGCTTCCCCTCACCTCCACTGTCAAGTAACTCGGATGGTCAGACTCACCTTGCAGAAGAACTGAACGCCAGACTCACCGTGTGTGGTCAACCAGCCACCAGCCAGCCGGTGCCCAGCTCAGTAAGATGCCATTAGATTCTATTATGACGTCAAGACTCCATGTCACACATGTTATTCCATTCAGCAAGTCAGTTTCACATGAAATTTTCTCAGGTGGCATGTCATAATGGTGTGTCAGGGACCTTGGGACTTTACAGCATGGCTGTCTTCCAGAAGTGAGCACAGTGACAGATAATCCAAATGGTCACTGGAGTCTCAGTGTCTACACGTCAGTGCCTTGCAGTCAGGAACCACAAGGAACATGTTTTACTTGCACAACTTGGGTTTGTTACTCATTTTACTGGGGAGAACACCAGCATAGGTGTTGTGCTGAGAGAGTTTTGGAAATGATTCGGGGATTTGGGCTTCCTTTTGGTGATTTTGTGGAGGAGGAGGAGAAGCAGGGCTTTGCTGTACTTTGGATACTGTCGGAAGAGGGGGTGGAATTCCGTAATGGTGCACCCGAAATCTCATCTGTAGTGAGCCAGAAGCAATAGTTAGAGCAGCCCCTCACATTTGCCAAGATGGAGAGCGATTTGGCGTTTATCAGAGTTCAGACATGGTTCCGGAGCTGTCTTACTGTCTCATGTTCCTGTCTGTGAGTGGGCAAAGCTGGCTGGCTTCAGTCCTAGCATCTTCTCCATGAAGCTTCACTGTATACAGTCATGTGTCAATACATGCATGGATATCCATGGTACACCTATCTGCCTTCCTCCTCCTCTTCCTTTCTCCCATCTGTGTCTCATTCATTCGTTGCATTTTTTTTGACAGGGGACTGGGAAAAGTTAAAGACTTAGAGAATAAACTCTGTTGATTGGCTGTCTATAATCACATGGGATCCTGTTTTGTTTCCTCCTGGTATTTCTTGTCATAAAAGTTATGCGTGGTACCATTCGGTGCAATATCATGCAGTCATCGAAGACTTAAGGTGTTCTGAAGACACATTTAGGGAGCAACCCTAAGAGACACTGGTAAATGTAAAACAGAAGATACAAACAGTGTGCTGGAGATCCTGCACTTATGCAAATTATTTAAATGACAGAGAATAAGTATGTGTATGATGTTTCTTGAAGACTCAACAGGAACTGGTAACATTGCTGCCTCTAAAGAGAGAGAATAGGATTTAAAGTTTATACTATGTGCAATAATGACCTTTTCAAAAAATTTTCTATTTTTGTTTTTGTTTTTGTTTCTGAAACAGGGTCTTACTTTGTTGCCCGGGCTGACCTGGAATTCACTATATAGCACAGACTTGCAAATCTTCCTAACTCAGCCTAAGTGCCAGGATTACAGGCATGAACCACCATACCTAGCTGCTCAAAAAAATTAATTCTTATGTTTAAAGCAGAGTATGGTTATGATTGAAAATTGAGACAGTATTGACATATACAAAGTAATAGTTTATTCTTCCATGTACCTCTAACAGAAGCTCCCTAGGTCACTGTTAATGGTTTGACATATATTGCCGTCAACATTTTGTATGTTTTCATAACATGAATATATACTTTATATATATACTTACATTGACTTTTTAAAACCTGAGCTTTTGTTCTGTTTGGTGATGGAAATCAAACCCAGGGCCATGTGCATGGTACCACTGAGCTGCATGCCTGACCCTGAGATCATCTTAAACGTACTTTTTCATAACCTGCTTTTTCTACTTGCTATATCCTAGACATTGGACTATTTCAGTAATTAGATGTACTCCTTTTAAAATCAACAAAAACAGTCATCAAACCCTAGCATAGTCAGTCCATCATATAAGCCATCCTTAAGGTATTTCACCAGTCTCCTATTGTGATAGACTTTAGATAGTTTACAATTCTTTATTACTGTGAAGATTTTGGCTTAATTTGTATACATACTGTAAATTTTGATGTCATTTAATAACAAAACTAAGGTACTTCCAACAGTGGCGACAGCATGTGTGTAAAGGCAAAAGGAAAGAAAGAATGTGGGATTACCAGGAACTAGGTCATCTGGGGTGGGCTGTGCGGTGGGCCAGCTGTGAGGCCAGAAGTAGCCGCAGGGGTCAGGAGAGGCACATCCTGAAGCATGGGAGGTACTGTGTTCTGGGCTGGACTTCCTGTAGTGACAGTCATCAAAGGCTTCAGCCAGAGGACAAAGGGACGGTCATGAGTTGTGGAATGCTCTGGCAGGATGTACTTAAGGAAAGAAGACTTGAAGCAGGAACACCTAGTAGGATGTCACTGCCATCATAATCAAAGTGACAAATGGTGAAAACTTAAAAAAAAAAGCCAAACTTGAACTAAAATGGAAAGCAAATATTTTTGAGAACTGATTTAGAAAGACTGAATAGGATGAAGGAACAGGTTGTGAGCAGCTGAAGGGTCCAAGATTCAGGAGCAGGTGTGAGGAGGTGGCCTGTCCCTGGGGGAGATGGGGGGAGGGGGGCGGGGATGACGGGACGACTGGTGCTGGAGGTGGAGGGTGTCGGCCCATGGTGCTGAGGTGGCCATCAGTCTTCAGCAGTTTCTTTCTTCCAGCCTCTTGTGTCCACAAACTCAGCCTCACTGCCTTATCTGCCATCAAACACAAAGCTGACGGTATCCTTGTCTTCTTTCTTGTTTGTTTTACAGAATCATTCCAGCAGACGAGGCAGCTTGCAAGCCTATACTTTCGAGGAACAGCCTACATTTCCTGTGGTGAGTTTTATTCCATCCCTCAGTCATCAATAAAAGCCTAAGATTCAGCACCTTTGCAATTTTTTTTATTGGAACGCTGAACGTGAATGCCTGCCTGCAGGGAACCATAGAGCACAGGCTCTAGCGGATGAGTTTCAAGGAGGCGATACAGTAGGACCTTGAAAGATCAACTCTGTTGCTCTCATATTAATAAAGCAGTCTCTTGGTGGCATCTGCCTTGTCCCTTAAAGCCCTGTTCTGGGGCTTTAAGGGACAAGGCAGGTGGTCTCCTGTGTACACACAGAATTCAGGGCTCTGGTGTCCAGATGCCCTGCTGTGCACGTGACACATGACATCTAGCTTTGCCCACTTTGTGTCAGTCAGTGGGCACAAAGTCAGGGATCTGTCTGTCAGGTGATCCTGGTGTCAGCAGGCCCAGTGGCCAGGTTGGAGTTCTCAGTCGCTGGTCCCCTCTCTGTCCTTCAACCTTGTCCTCCAGTCTACAGAGGCCTTTTACCTCCCTTGTAGTTCAGCCTCAACTGCATCTTCAGCCTTCAAACTTCATGCCTGGACTGTTGGCCCCCATTGGTCTTCCCACCCCAGGCTCTTCTTGCGCGACGTCTCTGTATGCTGAGCTCACCTCTCCCTCACACAGCCCCCACTTGATTTTCAAACGCAATTACAGCTCCCATCCTCCTCAGCCTGCCTTCTCCCTGTACACCCGTGACACATGTCTGTGTGTCTCTTCCAATTAGCTGGCTGTCCCAAGTCCTGCTCTCCCTCTCCTAGCTGTGTGCACATCCCACCCCCCATAGCCCCCGGAATGGCCTCCTCACTTTATTTCACCAGCCATTTGTAACTCCAAGTGGCAGGGTATGTATTAATTTTGACAAGTAGGGTTTCTGCTTTTGTGAAAGTTTAGTATACAAGTGTAGAGGCTCCACAACTGTTAGCTCAAGTGATCTTCTGTCCATCAACATGGCCCTGCACTACAAGCAGGGTATAGGCCCTGTGCTGAGGACCCTGCCAGGTAACACTGACCGTCAAGAGCGTGGATGCACTGAGAGCCCACCTCCCCAGCCTGTCTCTCTCAGGGTCACTTGTCTGGCCTCCTCTGTTGGACTACAGCCTGCCGAAGTATGGGTCCCTGTTTTTCTGCCCCCTCACCTTGCAAGGTCCTCCATCAAGGAAGTGTTCTCAGTGACTGACAGGCATTCATGCAAGAACCAATGTTAAGTGCACCAAATGAGTGTGGTCCTAGAAATGATGTGTATTTTGTGTACTAGACAAGATATTTCTATGCCCTTTTCTCTCAATACGTTCACTGGGTTTTTGGTAGTTTTGAGGGTTTTTTTTATATAGTTTTATTACCCTAAAATCTGCCCCTTCCTAAATGTGTAATTAAATGAGTTTTTGTCTGCTGGGGAAACTGGTTTCAGTTTCAAAAAACTGAAACTAGATCCATGTATATCACCCTATACCAATATTAACTCAAAATGGATCAAGGATCTAATATCAGACCACAAACTCTAAAGTTGATACAGGAAAGAGTAGGAAATACTCTGGAGTTAGTAGATATAGGCAAGAACTTTCTCAACGGAACCCCAGCAGCACAGCAACTAAGAGATAGCATAGATAAATGGGACCTCATAAAACTAAAAAGCTTCTGTTCATCAAAAGAAATGGTCTCTAAAGTGAAGAGAACACCCACAGAGTAGGAGAAAATATTTGCCAACTATACATCAGAACTTTCTCAAAAGAAGAAATTCAAATGGTCAAAAAACACATGAAAAAATGCTCACCATCTCTAGCAATAAAGGGAATGGAAATTAAAACCACGCTAAGATTCCACCTCACCCCTGTTAGAATAGCCATCATCATCAACACCACCAACAACAGGTGTTGGTGAAGATGCGGGGATAAAAGAACCCTCTTACACTGTTGGTGGGAATGTAAACTAGTACAACCACTCTGGAAAAAAATTTGGAGGCTACTTAAAAAGCCAAACATTGATCTACCATTTGATCCATCAATACCACTCTTGGGGATATACCCAAAAGACTGTGACACAGGTTACTCCAGAGGCACCTGCACACCCATGTTTATTGCAGCATTATTCACAATAGCCAAGTTATGGAAACAGCCAAGATGCCCCACCACTGACGAATGGATTAGGAAACTGTGGTATCTATACACAATGGAATTTTATGCAGCCATGAAGAAGAATGAAATGTTATCATTCCCTGGTAAATGGATGGAATTGGAGAACATCATTCTGAGTGAGGTTAGCCTGGCCCAAAAGACCAAAAATCGTATGTTCTCCCTCATATGTGGACATTAGATCAAGGGCAAACACAACAAAGGGATTGGACTTTGAGCACATGATAAAAGCGAGAGCACACAAGGGAGGGGTGAGGATAGGTAAGACACCTAAAAAACTAGCTAGCATTTGTTGCCCTTAACGCAGAGAAACTAAAGCATATATCTTAAAAGCAACTGAGGCCAATAGGAGAATGGGACCAGGAACTAGAGAAAAGGTGAGATCAAAAAGAATTAACCTAGAAGGTAACACACACGCACAGGAAATCAATGTGAGTCAACTCCCTGTATAGCTATCCTTATCTCAACCAGCAAAAACCCTTGTTCCTTTCTATTATTGTTTACACTCTCTCTGCAACAAAATTAGAGATAAGGGCAAAATAGTTTCTGCTGGGTATTGAGGGGGTGGGGGTGAGAGGGAGGGGGCAGAGTGGGTGGGGGCAGGGGGGAGAAATGACCCAAGCCTTGTATGCACATATGAATAATAAAATAAAATAAATAAATAAATAAAAATAAATGAGTTTTTGTAAGCTCATACAGTTGTGCAAACATTACCAAAATCAAGTTTAAGAACCCTTCCAGGCTGGGTACCAGTAGCTCATTTCTGTAATCGTAGCTACTCTGGAGGATCACCCTGTCTCGAAAATACTTAACACAAAAAGGGCTGGTGGAGTGATTTAGGTGTAGACCCTGAGTTCAAGCCCCAGTATTGCAAAAATAAAAAAAGAACCCTTCCGGGGCCAAGCAAGGGGGCTCATGCCTATAATCCCAGCTATGCGTGGGGTGTGGGGACTGCCATAAGCAAAAGTAAGACCCTACCTGAAAACAACTAAAACCTAAAAGGGCTGGTGACATGGCACAGAAGGTAAAACACCTGCCTCACAAGTGAAAGGTCCTGAGTTCAAACCCCAGTACCACACACACAAAAAAAAGAACCTTCCTGTCACTTCATAAAGTCACCTCAACCCTACGTCCAAGCAACCATTCTTCTGCCGACTGCTGATGCAGTAGGCTGATAATTCATCTTAACTTCTTACAGCTCCATGCATCTGATAAACAGTCTATCTGCTGAGGACCAGTGGTCATGACATTTATTTTTTTAGATGGCACTGAACTCAGCCTCATGTTTGTTAGGCAGGCACTCTTCCACTTGAGCCACATCCCAGCCCTTTCTGCTTGAGTTATTTTTTTAATCAGGTCTTGCATTTATGCCCAGGCCAGCCTGGGCTGTGGTCTTCCTGTTTATGCTTCCTGCATAGCTGGGATGTGAGGCATGCACCACCACACCCAGCTTTTTATTGGTTGAGATGGGAGTCTCGTAAACTTTTAGCCTGCCCTGGCCTCAAACCATGATCCTCCCAAACGCTGCCTCCTGAGTGGCTAGGATTACAGGTATGAGCCTCCTGGTCATGTTATTTATCTTGCAGGGCATTTTCAGGAGCCAACCCAAGCTTTAAAGAGTCGACTGGTTCTAAATGACAAAAGGCCACCGTACCTAGGACAACTTAAGATAAACTTGGAAATAGCGTTATCTTCACTTGGTGTTTAAGTGTGATTTCTGTAATTACCTCAGTTCAAATGCATTCCTTACTTAGCAACATATCTTAGCAAATTACTTCAGTTTTTCAGTAAAACCTACATTAGCCATGATCTCATAAAGATTTGTGTGCAGCTGTTAGTTTTGACGTGTTTCATTTCTGTTCTGTCGTTCTTGTTACTGTCTTTTCTGATTTTACCCAAGTGAAGTGCTGCATCCTCTGATTTGTGTACTCTAGAATATGATTGAAAATAGAACTCATTGTACTTTATTAAAATGTAGCATCTGTCCATTTTCTATTGTAATAAGAGACATTAGTCAAAATAAAATAAAATATGTTTTATTTTCGAGAGCTAGCATCAAGCAAGAGTTGGGGTCCTTCTTTGAGGATTCTTTCTCCTGAATTTTTAACTCTTATGATTCTATACCTTAGCTTCTGCCTACTTCATCCGGCTTACCGCCAGGTTGGGAAGAAAAACAAGATGACAGAGGAAGACCGTATTACGTGGATCACAATTCCAGAACTACCACCTGGACAAAGCCCACTGGACAGGTACTGACCGCATCTGTTAACTTGCTTTCTTGCAGGGTTGAAGCATTACATTACCTTGTTTTAAATACGCACACTCCTAGCGCCTTCTGTTTATTTTTTGACATTGATAGAGAGTGTCTGCCATTTCCTTGGATGTCTCAGACACACGAATTACCAGTTGTTATTGTAAGCCACGTTCAAATGGAACTGAGAAGACAAAGTGAGTGGTCTAGACCTTAGATGTTTTTGTAGCGTGAATGGCTGAAATCATTCTTTTGCTAAAAGATAATCTTCGTGATTAGTATCTACTATGGAAATTTTTTGTGCGATGCTGGATATCAAACCCAGGGTCTTACACATGCTAGGCAGGGGCACTCCCACTGAGCTACACCCCCAGACCCACTCTGTTCAAGAAATTTGTGATTGTAGCATTTCATTCTTGGCAATGCAGTTGCTTTTTGTAATTCTTCCTTGTAAGTGTTTAGTAAAATATTTATTTTATCTCATCAGCATTTCTTTTGTGGAGAAAGTTTTTAATACTGAAAAATGCAGAGAATGATATAGTAAATGTCCAAATTCTTAACACCCAGAATTTCCCATCCTTAAAAAGTTACCACATTTAGCTGGGGTGTAGCTCAAGTGGTAGAGTGCTTGCCTTGCAAGCATGAAGCCCTGAGTTCAAGCCCTGGTACAGCCCAAAACCAAAAAGTTACCAGGTTTATTTTTAAAAGTAAACTATGAGAGAGAATGCTAAATTCCTTTTGGCTGAGCCTTTGAATTGTTCCCTGGAGGACACTACCATTCTTAGTTTGATGTAGAATGTTCCAGCCAATATTTTAATATTTACATAGAAAGCTAAACGATATAAAACATTGTTTACGTCCGTGTGTTTTGGATTTTGCACAGGTTTTGTGCTGTAGAAGTGTAAATCCTTCTTTTGCACAGCATTGCTTTAAAGCCCTGCTCGTGTTGTTATAAACAGATCTACCGTATTTGTTTTAACTACTGACTAATAATCTATCATGGACTGAATTACATTTCAGTAGTGGATATTTGTCATTTACTTTGCTGCCACATTTGAAGCCACTTCTTAGTCTCTGCAGGCCACGCCAGACTCCTTTTCTGGGCACTGGAGCCCCCTGGCAGCTGGGGCCACACAGGCCCTTGGACATGACTTCCTCAGTCAGATGGTCCCACAGCACACCAGTCGACTTCCGTCCTACTGCTTGAGAATTAGCTGAGGATAATTCTCATGATAGAAACAAAGTCTGACACAATGCTTTATTGGGAAAAATTGAGGAAAAAGAGTTATAAAACCATTGGGGAAAAATTGATATGTCACAACTGCATTTGATAATGAGCCTCAGATGTTCAGGGCCTGTTTACAAGTCTGCATCTGTGTAGGGCAAGCTGTCTCTTAACCAGAGCTATTTGTGAGTTCTCGGTACAGTTTTACAGTCTGACTTAATCAATGTGCTAGGCCACAATGGAGACCAGTCCGCTGCCTTCCAGCCAGAGTCCTGCAGGCCCTCGGCCACAGCTCCCCACGGGTGATTCGGCTCTGCCAGCGACACAGCCATCGGAAATTGAGCAAGGATTCCTTCCCAAAGGCTGGGAGGTCCGGCACGCACCAAATGGGAGACCTTTCTTTATCGACCATAACACCAAAACCACCACCTGGGTAACTCCTGTCCCTCAGCTTCAAGTCACCATGGTTATCTCTGTGTATCGTTCCTGCCCACCTTTCAGTGTGTGTTACAACTAACATTCACCGAGACGTGTTGAGTCTTAATAATGATACTTCTTTAACATAGGCTTAGGCGTTCTTATCATTATCTTAGAGACAAAATATTTATTTCCAATTTCTCATTTTTGGCTCACTAACCATTAGTGCTTAGAAAGATATTTAGTAATAATCCTTTACTTTTATTTATTTATTTTTGCGGAGCTAGGGGTCTAACCCAGGGCCTTGCTCGTCCTAGGCAAGCACTGTACCACTGAGCTACATTCCAGCCTTTATATGAGGCCTTATGGTTCCAAAGCACTTTTGAATCCATAGCTCATTTTCTACCGGGCTAGACGCGTGGATCAAGTGGTAGAGCACCTGCTTAGCAAGCACAGGCCCTGAGTTCAAATCTCAGTACCACCAAAAAAAAAAAAAACTCTCTCATTTACTACCAGAAGACCTGTGAGGCTAGGTAGAATAAGAGAATAAGTATTTTTGTTTTAAGATAAGCCTTTTAAAGTTGCTTGATGCTTAGTTCATCACCAATAGAAAAATTACCAAAATTAAGAACAGATGAATAGATTTTTAATTAACTATTTAAAAGACCAACACAACTTAAAGAAAACCAAAATAGTTAATTATTTAATAAAATGTTAAAGTTATTATATATTAATTCAAATAAATAGAAACTTGTTCTTTTTTTTAACAATCTGAATTTGATTCAATAACTTTTTTTGGACTTACCTTCCTATCTTTAAAATATACTGGTAATCAGGACTGAGATCAGGAGATTTGTGGTTCAAGTCCAGCCTGCGCAAAAAGTTCACAAGACCCTATCTCAGTGAAAAAAAAGGCAGGTGTGGTGGTGTGCACCTGTCATTCCTTCATAAAATGGGATGTTCACAAGTGAGAGCCTATCTCCAAAATAACCAGAACAAAAAAGGCTAGAGCTGTGCTTCACAAGCATGAAACCCTGAGTTCAAACCCCAGTGCAACCAAAAAATATTTATATGTATATATTTAATTGTTTATATATGTATAAGTTACATATATGTATATATAAATTATACACACACACTTAGATGCCAAAAGGCATATTCAGAGGTATAGAAATATGGTTCAATTTAATGTCTCAGTATTTCTTGGCAGTACTGGGGTTTGGAACTCAGAGCCTTGCGCTTACTAAGCAGGGGCTCAACCACTTGAGTCACTCCCCAACCCTTTTTAATTTAGTTATTTTTCAGGTAAGATCTCACATATTTGCCAAGGGCCAGCTGCAGACCACTATCTTCCTACCTTTGACCACCACATAGCTGGGATCACAAGCACATACCACCATGCCTGGTTTACTGATTGAGATGGGGTCCTGCTAACTTTTTGGCCAGATGGCCTCCAACTACCATCTTCCCAAGCTCTACCTCCCTAGTAGCTAGGATTGCAGACATGAGCCATTATACCCTGCAAATGTCTCAATATTTCACCAGTTTCTATGCAAAGAAAAGCTCTGCATAGTGACATAATTCCTAAAGAGTGGGGCAGAATTTCTCAGTGGTTTCTGTGAAAGAGACAATCAGTTAGTACTGAGCCTTCTCTGAGAACTGGTCCTTATCATCCCTTTTCATAGTGTAGCCCAGGAATGATAGAGTTCAGTAGAAACTATTATGTCACATTTTTAGAATTGATATATCACTGCTTAGCAAGCATGAGGCCCTGATTCAAACCCCAGCACTACAAAAAAGAAAAAATATATCAATAAGCTTGAAAACAATATTTTAAATACCCCATCAACATTAGAAATCATTACAACATACTGATTTTCATTCTTTATAAATTTTGTGTGTGTTGTTTTATCTCCTCAACCAAAAAAAGGAAGATCCAAGGTTGAAAATTCCAGCTCACCTGAGAGGGAAGACATCACTTGACCCTTCCAATGATCTAGGACCTTTACCTGTAAGTTCACAGAACTGCCACCACTCTACCCTGACTACCTCAAACATTTTGTCCAATAGAATATGATAGTTCTTGAATAGCTATAATTAATATTAAACTCTAATTACAAAATATAATTGCTAAATAGCAGCTATAACTAATATTGGTGCCTTCTACTAAGAATGGCTTGTGCAGTTTAAATTAGACATAGAGCCAATGCTATTTTTTACCCTACATCTAAAACCCTGTCCTAAAATAATTGAAATAACATTTTTAATTATAGCCAGGATGGGAAGAAAGAACTCACACAGATGGAAGAATCTTCTACATAAATCATAGTATGTCCAGTGTTATTTTTTATTATGCTTTTTGGTAACACAGAATTTTGTGTGTGAGAAAGAAAGACTTCATTGTTTTTAATTATCTTTCAGATATAAAAAGAACACAATGGGAAGACCCTCGGTTGGAGAATGCAGCAATCACTGGACCAGTAAGTCTGTCTGTATTGGTGTGTCCTGATGGGATGGTCCTGTCATTTGTCTCTTTGAATGCAAGTGGCCAGAGCTGGAGGTGAAGCTCAGTGGTAGAGTGCTTGCTTGGCATGCTTACGGCCCTGGGTTCAATCCCCAGCACTTCAAGTAAATAAGTCCAAGTGGCCAAGGGTGTAATCCTGCAGGCACTGAGAAGCAAGGTCACTTGCCATTCTCTCCTGTCTGAGCTACTCCTACTCCAAGCTTCGGTTACTTGAAAAGACAGTATGTCAGTGTCCTTACCTCACACGAAGCACCCCATCAACTCCAGGGTCACTCTTGAACTTTTTGGTAGAAGTCGTTGTAAATTCCCACTGTTGAAGACAGAGCCATATTTAAGTATAAATATTACCACAACGTGATGACTGGACTGTTCTGAGTCAGGCTCGTGATGGGAAAATCATCCTCCTCCCTTCCGTAGCTACTTTTCCATTTTTATTCACATTTTGTGTTCTAACTCACAGAAATAAGTAGAATTGAATATGGGTGTTTTGAGATTTCTGTTTAATGGTTCAGTATGTAGTCTTTTAAATAAGGGTTGGGGGCAATCCTGGGAGTTTAAGGAAAAAGTACATTTTTCAAATTGTTCCTTTAATGGAGAAATCACTTTGAAAGTCTTTTTAGAAATGGAAAGTTTTGTTTCTAATATTCCTCTACTTGGAAGAAAATTCCTGTTTCTGGCATGTCACATTTCAAGAATTGTATGATGAAAATTACAGCCATAGGAATTTCTGAATACAATTTTATCTTAATTGGAGAAATTTAAATTTTTCAAGTTTTATATTTGTTTTTCTTCAAATGAAACTTTGATTTCCAAATATTCTCCTTTAATGCCTTTAACTTATGTTCGTAAAATACCCACAGAGGAACTTCTAAAGTTGTTCCAGAATAAAAAACCATCTAAACCATTATTTTTCCAAATTGTTCAACTACAGGCTGTGCCCTACTCCAGGGATTACAAAAGAAAGTACGAGTTCTTCCGAAGAAAGTTGAAGAAGCAGGTCGGTGATCTTTTTAATAAGTATTGGGCATGATCGTTATATCAGCCACAAGTGACAGTAAATACTTCTCTAAAAGCAGATAGATTTTGTCTTACAGTATTCAAAACAGCTTTGAGGGACTAGTTTCTCACAGGGAAAGGATCCGTTATTTTTGAGTAACTGTTACCTATTACTAAAGACCATCGTTACCTTATGTCTCTGTTTACGTTCCAATTACGTGAAAAACTAGTAAGAAAAGTTGGCTCAACCTGGTGTTTCCCCAGGGGAATTGTGGGGCTTGGTCTCTAGAATCTGGGCAAGAGTGTCTCAGGACACCATCTTCTTATCTCCTCTTTGGTGGTGGCGTAGAACTTTCTGGATTCCTGCACTGCATTGACTGTTGTGTTCTAGTGATCATCGTTCCTTTTTTAAAAGCTTCAATTATAACAGACTTCTGCCTAATTTAAAAATACAGCTGGGACTGGAACTTTGAATGTAATGCTCTTGTTATTTGTCTCCCTGTGCTTATCAGATAGGCTCATCGTACTTTTTTCCACCTCCACAAATTCAGTATGTCTAGAATTAAACTCATCATCTACCCATCGATTTCATTTCTGTTGGTGTTGACCAACACTTTCAGTGGCTTCTGAATTTGCTCCAGCTTCCTTTCCTTGCAGTTTGGGACCGGTACCACTAGGTGGCTGTATTGGGTTACACTCTCTTGGCTTCCAAGCCAGAATTGCTTTTCCAAAGATTCAGGATGGTGGGTTTGCTACCACAGATTGTCATCCAAATTTTTAACAAAAGTGAAATGCCATAGTTTTGTTTTTTTTTTTTCAGTCCAACTATTTTATGCCCTAGTAAAATTCTTAAATATAAATGTTCTTTTTAACTTTTCTTAAAGAGTAACTTTGTGTGTCTAAACTCCTCTGGAAATTTGTGTTCTACTTTTAAGCTTTGGGATCATAAATTTTTGTGGATGTGTTTTTCTGGTAAATATTTTCCTTAAAGACAAAATACTGGTGTAGCAGATGTACTTGCCTCTTCGTTTGCTGCTCTGGACACATTTAGAATATCTGTTAATGTCTCCCAGACAATAGAAGATAAGGAACAAGACCTTTCTTAACACACCCAGCAAAGAAAGACCATAGTGACAGCAATAATATTTACTGATTCCTCACTACATGCCAGGGCATTAAGGAAGGAACTGTTACCACATTTTACAGGTGATGTGATCCAGTGCCATGCTCGTTAAGGGGAAAAAGCCAGATTCAGACCACATGGTTAGCTGCAGAGTCCCTGTTCATAACCAAAGGGGCATATCAGATTGGTGATTAGGAGAAAAATCTTGGAAACTATACAGAATGCAAAGGTACACAATAGATAAGCATATAAAAGAAAGGTTAAGAGGCCTGGGTCCTCTGGGAGAGATTCAAGGGCAAGAAGAGGAGGTTGAGAATCTGAATCCACAGATTAACAAAAAGTCCCAAACCGGATTTACAAATTAGAATGCAGTGTCAGACATGATGGTGCATGCCTCTAATCCCAGCTATTTGGGAGGTAGAGGTAGGAGGATGGTGGGGAAACAGCACAAAACCCTGAAATGCCTGGTGGAGTGGCTTAAGTGGTAGAGGGCCTGCCTAGCAAGTGCAAGGCCCTGAGTTCAAACCCCAGTACTGAAAACAGTTAATTAGCTGGCAGAGTGACTCAAGCAGTAAGAGCTAGCAAGTGTGAGGTCCTGAGTTCAAACCCCAGTGCCTCTGGAAAAAAAAAAAGAAAAATGGAGCATTGAAAACAATTACTTAATGTAAAAAATTCGTATCCATCCACATCACAGCAAAACAGCAGAACATGAAGACAGAAAGAAAATATTGACCAGTGCACAAAAGCGTGAGCTTCCTGTAGCTGTCTCCTCTTCCTATTCTTATCATCTCATTAGCTAAGAAAAATAAAGGCTGATAATTACTCTGCTTACCGTGTGCCCATCACCATGTAAGTGCTATCAGCGCATTATGCAATTACGACCTGAGACACCTGCGCGAGGGTGGCTGTTATTATGTCCATGTCATAGGTGAAGAAATGAAGCCTTAGAAACCATGTAATTTGCCCAAAATCACACAGCTAGTGAGTGGTGGAAGCAGGATTTGAACAGAGTCTGTCTACAGACTGCTCCTCAAACACACACCAGTCCTGTGGCCCATTCTTCCTCCAACACCCCCATCTGTACAGCTTCATTTGTCTTCTCTCACCTGATAGTGGTCCTCTGGTCTCTCTTGACACCACCCTTTACTAAAACCAAGTTCTGCAGCCTCTGCAAAGCTGATCAGAGGCCCCTCTGATCCGCACTGGTCCACACTGACCCCTGACAGCTTTTCCTCCTCCTCCTTTCACTGCCACCTCTCCTTTTCCCTCCCTTCCTTCCTCTTCTCCCGCTGCACCCCCTAGCTAGAACACAGGTCAGGTCTCTCATGCCCACTCTTCTGAGTCCTCCCTCCCAGGTCCAAATCCTCCTCCCCTGCCTCCTTTGCAATTAGTGCCTCAGTTCTGCACATCCCTCAAGGGGACTGCTTTTAAGCAGTTGTCCTACTCTTGTAACACTCACCTGCACACCAGGTTTGAAACCCTATCCCTGCCCCACTGCAGGACCACCCAGCAGGGCAGTACTGTCAGGGAGCACTTACCTGTTGCTTTGGTCCCTCTCACTTTTCCTCACCATTGCACGAACAGCAGAGATGACACTTACAGTGCTGATGTAAACTGCTTAGATTCGTGTTTCCCCTGAATATACTGACTTCTTCATAAGAGCTACCCCTCCTTCTTGTGCGATAACAGAATATTGATATCCTATCATGTCTTCTCCTGGTTTCCATTTGAAAGCTGTGTATGTAAGCACTTGGGGGGAGAAAACATTCACATAGATTTATGAAGTTTGCAGCAAGATTTTCCTATGGCATAGTTATTTACATTTGTCACCTAAACACAGCAAGATTTCCAAGAGAATGA